CCCGGTTCCCCCCGGTGCCGTGCCCGGCTCCCCCCGGTGCTCTGCCCGGTTCAGCCCCGGTACTCTGCCCGGTTCCCCTCTGTGCCATGCCCGGCTCCCCCCGGTGCCGTGCCCGGCTCCCCCCGGTGCTCTGCCCGGTTCCCCTCTGTGCCGTGCCCAGCTCCCCCCGGTGCTCTACCCGGTTCCCCCCGGTGCTCTGCCCGGCCCCGCTGCGGGGGTGGGGGGAGCTGAGCGGGCAGCAAATACAACGACTGTTAAGTTTGATGTAAATTAAACCACAATCCCTGTAGTAAAGCGATGCAAAAAAGAAGGAAGCGGTGGGCAGAGCATGCTTGTTTGCATGACTGCAGTTAAAGCAACTATTAAATTAAGTCAGGAAAAGATTTCTGTAAACTGTTGCTTTTTAATGCAAGGCTAAGTTGCCACAGTCCATGTAATCAGATTCCTGGAGCACTGGTAATGATTCGGTCTCAGTGGGATGCTTTGTGCTGGGAGAGATTTACTTGCGTTTTGCGAAACACTTTAAAAATCAACGCTGCTCAAAGCAATTAAGGTCTTTGGAAGGGCAGGAAACCTTGGGCAAATCGGAAGCCCTGAATTCACTGGTTTGTGTTTGCAGAGTGCTTTGGAAAGGATTTGCCACGTAAACACTAGAGACTGTTAGGCAAATGGGGTACGTGCATCCATAGCGGGGAGGATCTGCCTGGGCAGGGGTCCGGCGTCCCCCGCTGTAGCCGTCACGGGGAGGTCGGTGCCACACAGCTCCTCAGTCAGGTGCATACGACAGCTATCCAACTCGAGATGGGTTCTCTATGTTCTTTTTCAGATGTCCCTTAAGGTTTTTTATTAATGAATTTCAGAGTTTTTCTCTTTGCTGCTCTTTCTTGCAAAGCCTATGTATTCCACTCAGTTGTGTTAATTAATTTCTTCAGATACTGGCTTTCCACATTTGGTTCTTGATAAGATACTGGAAAGAAATCTAAAATAAGACTCAAAAAGAGATTTCTCACATGGCAAGCATAAAGTTTCATTATGTATCATAAATTCCCTGTTATTTCTGTGTCAGGGCTCTCTAGTTCCTCGTGCGAATACTCCTCAGTAATGAAAATGAAGGTTTTATTCAGTTTAAGCAGTGCGCAGGTACTGAAGACAGCAGCGTTCAGGACAGCTGCATCAGAGGGCTGCAGGCCCCCTGAATGTTTCAGCTCTAGCCGGGTATCAACTCATTAGGAATTCATCCAGGAGACAGAGCCTCTGGGAGCCCAAAATCAGCAGTTCAATATTCACTGTCATTGCCTGGGTCGGTATGACAACATCATTTGGCAGGAGAAAACAATGGCTAAAAAGTTCAGCTCTGAGGGAAAGACTAATTTGTACCACTGGTGCTTGCTCTGCGAGCGGGCAGCGAAGGCGGCGGGGAGGAAGGTGCCGCAGCGTGGTCCAGGTGGGGAGGGAGGCTCCCTGTGCCAGCCATTAGGTGGTGGATCCTCCTGCTTCCTCCCCAGGTGCTGCTAATGACAAATAATTCAGCCGCCTTAACTAAAAATAACTTTCCCATAGCAGGAAAAGACCAGCCAGTGCTCCTGCCGGATGACTCTTTAGTTTGATAGACCTCTCATTCAACAGTTAACAGCCAGCATGTTTACAGGCAACATTTTTTTTGGCTGCTGTCCCTATCATGTCACTAATGTTTAGCCAAATGAACTGGGAGGATTATAACAGACAGGGACACTGGTGCAAGTGACAGGCGCAGAGACAAGTGCTGCAAGAAGCTAATTTACACATCGAGTTTCACAGCCTGAACCTCCCTTCCTGCTCAATAAGCTCATCAGCTGCTGCTTTATACCCGCCAGCCAGCTTTCATAAAAATGAGGGAGCTCACAAAATCTCTTTTTTTTTTCCTTTTTGCCTGCCTGCTTAGACAACAGATTCTAATAAAAACCACTTTTTAATATTGTTGAAAATAAGTCCTCTTTTATGTGGTTTTAATGTAAATAGTTTGTGCTGCTCTGATTCTCTTGAAGGGCTGCTTGGCTCTTAGCAGTCCCTGCGTAGCCTTTCAAGTCGCTCAGGAGACACTGCCTGCTGCTGAGACGTGGGCTGATCGCGGAGGGGGTCTGCGCTCTCGCTTGCCTCTCCTGGGGTGCTCTCTGCGCTATGTGACAGCTGTTTTCTCAGAGAGGGATCAGCCATATTTCAGAAAATGCAACAACAGCTGCAGCTGTGACATTGCCACCATTTTCCCACAAAGTAACGTGGTTCTAGAGGAGAATGTGGTGACTGTAACACAAGAGCTTTGCAAGGGAGCATCCTGGCTTCGTCTGCACAAGGTGCTTTGTCCCTTGCGAGTGTCCGAGGCCGCCCTGCTCTTGTGGCTGTATATCTCCACCCCCAGTCTGCGAGCCCACGGCCGCGCTGGGTCACCGAAGCACGCGAGGTGGCTTTGGGCTTAGCCACCCCTGCCCTCACGGCTCTAATACACGTCAGTTTTACAAAGCAGCATAAAGAATGAGAAGCATATAGTGTCATGAAAAGTATGTATTAAAATTTCCAGAATTAAATTTTTCTTACTGTTTTCAGTTTGTTGTCGAAATTAAAACAACCACCAAGTCCCCCAGCTGCAGAAATGCTGTTCTTCAGCCAGTTCTAGTCCTCTCCTGTTTACGAGACAGTATAAGTTTTCACTGCCTAATAAAAACAATCATCTGTATTCCATGGCTGCAAGCAACAACACTGTGAGAGAGCGGAGCAAGTTGAGAAGCTTTTGGAGGAGAATATGAATTATCTCAGCCAGAGAACTAAGCACAGAAGGACCCCTGAGCACCGAGAGAAATTGCAGAACATATCAGGCATGTCTCTGAACCTCCACCGTTTAACTGGGAGACTTTATGCTTTTGAGAAAAAACGTCTTACTTAAATATTCCCATAGGTACGTTCTTGCCAATTTTATTTATTTTAAGTTGTTCCTCATGTTTTTTAAGGCCAGGATGAATGGACAAGCATTTTATCAGCTAACTTGGATTGAGGAGGACAGGTAATATCCCCAAACCACCGAGACTTGTGGTATGGCTCTGTGATGAGCAAGGACGTTAAAGGCTGCTATAAAGAAACAAGCTCCTGTGCCCTCAGCCGGACAGAATTATGAAAATCCCCACAGCGTCCTCAAAACACTGAATTAACAGAAGAAAGAGCTGTGTTTTACTGTGATGGATAGAGCCCCTGGGCTCCATGGCGGCGGGCACTGCCGTCCCTTCTCTGGCGCGGACCATCAGGGCACGCAGTACCTACAATTTCTCGAAACGGGCAAACGTGCTACTTCACCTCCCCCAATAAAATAAGTGAAGATAATTACATACTTAAATCTAGGTGTCGGGCTGCTTTGCTACACAGAAATTCATCTGCTATCATCAGAGTCCTTGAAGTTAAAGAGGGATTTGAGTTACTGACATAATTTGTTCCCTCAGGGCTGTGGAAACGAACTGAGAGGCATATCTGAATAATAACTCCCCAACCGCACATCTTATAACCAGAGCTAGTATTGCTCCAGAAGGAAGACACAATGGGAAGCAGAAGATCTGAAACGTTTATAACCTATACAGCAATCAGGCAGAATTTGTTTGGTTTGTTTTTTTTTTTTTTTTTTTTTCCCCAGGCAGCCACCCATCAGGGAGATCTGCAGGCAAGCTCCTCTGTTTTCACTTCGCTAAAGCTTATTTTAACGTAACACTGCCTGTGGGTCAAGCCTGGGGTCTGGGTCTGTGCAGTGGGCCTGGGCTGCCTGCCCTGCTTGCGGCAGGCCCTGAGGCGACCTCCCCGCCCAGGCCGCATCTCGTCCCACCACCGACTGAGGACCAGGCCTCTCTTCGCCCGTCGTTTCGACCCCGAGAGGCCACCTGCCCGCCCGGTAACCCGGGGAGATAGCCGATGGCAAGGCCCGGTTGCCCCTAAGGCGGGAGGCTCCACAAGAT